CGCCCAGGTGCCCCAGGAGTTTTAAGCTGCTTTTAAAGTATTCCACTGTCATGATAGTTTTTAAAGCTATGTTGAAAATACATTGGAGAGAACTTTATGAAAAGAGCGGTTAAAGGGTTGCACCTTTTGAAGGTATTCACTTCCCCATAAACCCAAGGACTAGGTCTTACACCCGGCGCTTTCCCTGAAGAGAACAAGTCTTTGCTAATGCATGAGGATTAGGGAGGATTCAGACCAGGGAGTAAGAATGCCAGGCAGCAGACAAAGTGTTAGCGGCTGGGCAAGTAGGGAAGTCGTTTAGCCTTCAAGTCAAGCACCAAAAGAGGGATATTCATGGGAAATGAGGTTGGAAAAGTAGATTCAGATTTGAATGTTATTCTGTAGGTATTTATTCCAGAGGCATTTATGAATTCTAAACAAGGCGGGGCATGTCAGTGTTCTACTTCAAGAGGATTCACCTGTAAAGAGTAGATGAAGTGGACTGGAAGAGTCAGTGGGGGCAAGTTAGGAACCCAGTGCAAAAGCCTAGGTGAGACGGAGTGTGGATTATGGTCAGTGTAAAACTACATCTACTGAACAGTGTTACTACTTAGTATTTGTGTTAGTGTCTTGCATTTATGTCCATCTTCATTATTTATTTATTACAACTCTTTACGGTAAGTCAGTACTGCAGCAATACTACACATCTTTCTTTAATTTATAGCAATGGGATCGCATGCAAGGTGCAAAATTCCATAACAGCTTGCTTCTTCCACAGCACATAAGGAAAAATAATAACCATTCTACACATTGTTTACTATTTTGGGTAGAGATGTTACTGAAACCTAACCAGTCCCAAATTCTTTCACAAAGTAGTGCTTCTCCCCCACCCCCCCACTCAGATGCTTTTGAGAATTCTCAGATTTGAGCAAACACCCAAAAGCAATCGACTTTTGGACGGTGAGTTTTACAGGTTAATGTCTCAGGGCAGAACACTGAACAGGTTGGGATTTTATAAACACACATTTCACCCTGTTTAATTCCGCGCATTACAGCCGCCTGCATCACACGATCTGAGAGCAAGCTTGTGATGAATGGCCTTCACGTGTTCTGCTCTAGAAATATTTGAGAAAGATGGCCCAACAGTCTACTGATAACGGCATCAAAGTTCTTCTTTCTTCTTTTGCCTTATTTTACAGGATTTCTGATTTTCCTTAGAAAAAGAACCAGACCAAAGGGTTCTCAGTCTTTTCCATCTGAGACACAAACGATTGGAGATAATCACATGCATCATACACATCCACGAGAATGAGCTGCGTTTCCAACTCAGGAAAGCATATGAACATGCACTTCAGTTTGGGAAGCAGAACTGACCATGAATGACGAAGTTTAAGGCCAACTCAAGTATGTAATACTTTAGCATTAACTACCAATGACTTGTGGACATTCTTACCACTAAATACATCTCAACACCTTGCTTAGTTGAGACCTGCTAGCCTAAATGATCCTGTCACCATCAAGCATTACTCAGTGTTGGTAAAGCACACTCAACACAACATACTCCCCCTCACCATCCACACACGTGCATATTCCCAGTCTTAACTATACATAGACCCTTAGATTTTTCTCATTCTTACCTCTGTTTTCTGAACTTTGATTTTCCAAACTCTCAATAATTATATACAATTACATAGAATTTGCTCTTTGATTTTAGATATAAGTACATTTGAAAAAATTATTTGGGAGTGGGGTACCCGGGTGGCTCAGTTGGTTGGGCATTCGACTTTGGCTCAGGTCATGGTCTCACATCCATGAGTTCGAGCCCCACGTTGGGCTCTGTGCTGACAGCTCAGAGCCTGGAGCCTGTTTCAGATTCTGTCTCCCTCTCTCTGCCCCTCCCCCACTCACACTCTGTCTCTCTGTCTCTCAAAAATGAATAAATGTTAAAAATATTTTTTGATTATTTGGGAAAGAGAGAGCAGGGCAGAAGGGCAGAAGGAGACAGAGAGAGAGAGAGAGAGAGAGAGAGAGAGAGAGAGAGAGAGAATCCCAAGCAGGCTCCATGCCCAGGGCAAACCCTGATGTGGGGCTGGATCCCACAACTCTGAAATCATGACCTGAGCTGGAATCAAAAGTCAGAGGCTCAACTGACTGAGCCACCCAGGTGCCCCTTAGATATAAGTACATTTAATCACAACAAATTTTCATTTACAAAACTGGATTGGTTATTGAGAGTTCATTTTGTTTTATTCATTTTCATCAAATTGATTTCAGGATAGTAGGTATTCTAAACCATAAGGGGAAAATGAGATATATACAAAATATGTTTGAAGGTAGTTTAGTACCTTCTCCCCTATAAAATCAAGAGAATTTGCATTCTTCTCTATTAACAGAGCTCTTTAGATAAGCCTACCATTAACCTTTTTTTTTTATGTTTTATTTACTTTTAAGACAGAGAGAAAGAGAGAGAGAGAGAGCATGAGTGGGGGAGAGGCAGAGAGAGAGAGAGACACACACACAGAATCTGAAGCAGGCTCCAGGCTCCGAGCTGTCAGCACAGAGCTCGACACAGGGCTTGAACCCATGAACTGTGAGATCATGACCTGAGCCGAAGTTGGATGCTCAACCAACTGAGCCACCCAGGTGCCCCTTTTAACTTTTAAAAATACAAGCTGTGTAACATTCTGAAACCAGAAAAAACAATTGAGGGGAGTATCCATTTGTCCTTGTTTGTTGATGTCATAGCTCATCTCAGGATGGTTTTCTAGAAGTACATATTAATTATATTTTAGTATATTTTCTTGGTTGGCCACATTCTTATCATCTGACACATGTCAAAGTTCATTTTAGGGTTTCTGCATTTTTTTTTTATTCAACAAATATTTTTTTGAGGGTCTACTATGTGTTCTGGTGATGGGAATTCAATAGTGAATAGAAAAGACCCAAATCTTAGCTCACGTATTGCTTAGTTTCTAGTTGGGGGAAGATAGACTGTGAACAAATAAATAAGTAAAACATATTGTGTGACAGATGGTGATAAGATCTGTGGAGAGGAGCAATGCAGATAAAGGAAAGAGAGAGCTCTGGAGTGAACGTTGCAATTTTAAATAAGGTGGCCAGGGACCTCACTGAGAAAGAGGCATCTCAGCAAAGACCTGAAGGAAAGGAAAGAGTGAATCATATGGTTACCCGAAGAGAGGAGCCGTCCAGGTAGGAGGAACACGAAGTGCAGAAGCCCTGAGGTGAGTGTGTGCTGGTCCGTCTAGGGAACAAGAAAGGAGGCATCAAAAGAGGAGGAGCAGATGTAATTAAGATCCTTAATCACTTGACTTGGATTAAAAGGGAAATTACAAAGAGTGCCTAAAGCTAAGAGTGCCACAAGAAGCAGAAATTGCAGATGTGCTCTAATGCCTTAAAGCAAACTGCCATGTTGTGAAGATGGTCATGGCAGGCTTAGCTGAGGACCTCACTACCACAACCACAATGAGTGAATTCTGCCAACACTCAGTGAGCTTGGAAGAGGACCCCAGCTCCAGATGAGCTCATAGCCCTGGCTGATGTCTTCACTGCAGTCTTGAGACACTGAGAAAAGGACCCAGTTATGCTATGCCTAGACTCTTGACTGTGAAAACTGAGATAATCAGTGTTTATTATCTGAAGATGCTCAATGCAGCAATAGAAATCAATATAGCTAGCAGAAAGTATCGAGAACTTTTAAGTTAAGACAATAGGAATAGCAGATAATAAGGAGCCGCTACCCCTAGGGCTGAGACAGAGCACCCAAAGAAGAGATGCTTTACTTGCCCCTAAACCCCACACCCTGGGCTGGGATCTAGAAGTTGTGGGATAGGACAGCTGTGGTTCACTCAAAATCAAAGAAGTTGCTGTGGTACTGCACTGGCAGGATTTGTTGAAAATCTGCCTTGTGGAACTTACTGGAAATCTGCCCTCTAGGATAAGGGTCACCAAACTACAGCCTGCAGCCTGGCCCACCACCTGTTTTTATACAGGCTAAGAGCTAAGAATGGTTCTTGTGTAAATGGTTGAAATAAGTCAAAAGAACATTTCCTGGTATGTGAAAGTTGCATGAAATAAAAATGTGTCTATAAGTAATGTTTTATTGGAGCACACACACACAAAAGAGGAGAAGGAGGATATACCGTTAGGAAATTAGGGGGGCTCCTCATAGGTCATTTTGAGGGTTTTGCCTTTGAATGAGATGGGAAGTTATTGGAGGTTTTGAACAAAGAAGCAACAGGGTTTTATTGTTACGGACCTGAACATCAGTGGATAAGTTTGAGGTCACTGAATGATGACTTCTAGACAGCCAAGGTGATTTATGGAGCTGGGCTAAGATTTAGTCTGAGAAGTTTCATAGTTTTTGTTTTTTGTTTTTGTTTCTTTGTAAAAAAAGGAAGGAAAGGATGGGGAGAGAGGGAAGGAAGAGGAGAGGATGGAAGAAGGAAGAGAGAGAAAAAAAAATCAAGTATTGTTGAGACATTGGTAATAGAAATTTTCGTGGTAACATTATCCATACTCCTGACGAGCTTGACACATTCAAACAATCTGGAAAATATATACAGATGGTTCCCAATTTACCATGGTTCAACTTACAGTTTTTTCTTTATGATGTTGAGAAAGCCATACACATTCAGTAGAAACCATACTTTGAGTTTTGAATGTGGATCTTTTTCCAAGTTAGTGATACTCAGTATGACCCTCTCTGCTGGTGCTGGGCAGTGGCAGCCACAGTTCCCAATCAGCCACACAATCATGAGAGTAAACAACCCGTGCACTGACAACCATTCTGTACCTGTACAACTGTTCTGTTGTTCACTTTCAATATACAGTATTCAATAGATTACATGACATATTCAACACTTTATTATAGGATAGGCTTTGTGTTAGATGGTTTTGTCCACGTGTAGGTTAATGGAAGGGTTCTCACATTTAAGGTGAGCAAGGCTATGATGGGATGTTCGGCAGGTTAGGTGTGTTCGATGCATTTTCGACTTCCGATATTTTCAATTAAGGATGGGTTTATTAGGATATAAGTCAAGGAAGATTTGTGGTGTGTTTCTAGCCATAATAAATACATGATAGTTCTTTGTTTTTGCTCACAGCTCGTCTTCAAGCCAGGACAAGTCCTGCCACCCTGTCAGTTCAACTGTCTGCAAAACGCACAAAAAATTGTATTTAGAAACATTTCCTTGGCATTCTGGGAAATTCAGTTAAGTAATGTCTGTAAAGTACTTCAAGATCCTGAAAGACAAAAAACTGGAAAAAAAAAGAGTTTTCAATTATTGCAAGGAAGTACATTATTTGGGACATCTGTTTCACCTTTATATATTATCGTAGTGATAATTTCTCCCCAATACTATTTCAATAGATAATGTCTAATAGGGACCCAAGAGAGCCTGTTCTGAGAATGTTCTGAGAAGAAAAACAATAATTTTGGAAAAGCTAATTATTGCACTAGTTTTTATTAACTTTGGCCCTGTTTTAATACAAAAAAAAAAATTAACAAAAAGTTCTTTTGAAGAGCAGTTCTCAAAGTGTGGTCCTGACACCCCTGGAAGTTCCAAAACCTTTTTAGGAGGGCTGCAAGGTCAGACACACTTATACAATAATACCAAGCTCTTATTTTCTTTTTTCACCTTCATTTCTCTTATGAGTGTACAGTGGAATTTTCTAGAGGCTGTTTCATATCTAAACAGATAGAATTCGGGGCGCCTGGGTGGCTCAGTCAGTTAAGCGTCCGACTTCGGCTCAGGTCATGATCTCGCGGTGCCTGGGTTCGAGCCCCGCATTGGGCTCTGTGCTGACAGCTCAGAGCCTGGAGCCTGCTTCCAATTCTGTGTCTCCCCCTCTCTCTGCCCCTCCCCTGCTTGTGCTCTCTCTTTGCCTCTCAAAAAATGAATAAATGTTAAAAAAATTTTTTTTAAATAAATAAACAGAATTCAGGAGCAGATATGAGAATCTAGCTTCTTGTATAAAGCAGACGTTAAAGAGATTTGCAAAGATGTTAAACAATGCTATTCTTCTCACTACTTTGAAATATGTAGCTATTTTTATAAAAATGTTATTTGTGCAAACATGCAATGAGTTTATTACTGTTATTTGAAATGAGTGAATATGGAACTCTATAATTTTTTTTTAATTTTTTTTCAACGTTTTTTATTTATTTTTGGGACAGAGAGAGACAGAGCATGAACGGGGGAGGGGCAGAGAGAGAGGGAGACACAGAATCGGAAACAGGCTCCAGGCTCTGAGCCATCAACCCAGAGCCTGACGCGGGGCTCGAACTCCCGGACCGCGAGATGGTGACCGGGCTGAAGTCGGACGCTTAACCGACTGCGCCACCCAGGCGCCCCCGGAACTCCATAATTTTTAAGTGTGCGAAAGGATCCTGAAATCAAAAAGTCTGAGAACCACTGTTTTGAATGTGAGTTCTAAGACAGCAGAAGTTTTTTGTTTTGTGCATCATGCACTGAGTATCCCAGAGTTCCCGGTATGTAGTAAGTGCTCAACAAATATTCGTTGACTGAATACATGAATGAATGAATGAATGAATGGTTACTAACATGTCAGATGAATATGGGCTTTTTAAGGCCCTGAAACAAACAGTAATTTGGGGGTTGTTGAGGATTGAACATACATTAGGATGGACTTATTTTATGCACCCGTTAGAATTATTTGTGACAAGAATTCTGAATAAAGTGAAGTAATCATTTATATTTCCATCTGCAGCCTCTCCATGCATTTACAGACCCCTGATATAAGAAATAATCACCTTTGCAGTGAAAACCAAGAAACTCTTCTGGGTCTTCAGCATCTGAATGGCTGGTCCTCGTATATTTTGGTACATTCACAAACTCCTGTATCTTAGCTTTTCACTGGACGTCTGACAAGGCAAATCATCTTCGCTTGACAAAGAAGAATCTGCCAAAAAGAGGACTTGCTTCTTTCAAGTGAGGACATATGGATACTAAATTAGATGGTCCCAAAGGGTTAATGCTCCTAGACTCTAGAATTAATGTTACAACATACCTAATAACTGTGATTAAAGAGAAAAGACAGAAACTAGGAAATTCAGGCCTGTAATTAATAGGTAGTCCAATGAGCACCTCCTTCGAGAACTAGAGGAAAGCAATTAAAAAACCTAATATGACTTTTAATATTCTTAAAAACAAAACAAGATTAAATAAAGTACTATTGCATTAGGCAGATAGAAACAAAAGCAAGAGACTTAAATTGATTTGCAAAGACCTCACTTAGAGGGGGTTATTAGTTCTATTATTTTCTTTAGGGCAGCTTATCAGCAAATCTTAGGTAACTACTATATGCTAAACTCTCCCTGGCTCATAAAATCTGAGAATTCAGTGGTCCCTGGCTCATAAAATTTATATTTCCGCAGAGGAAGAGACAAGCAAACAAATAAACCACCACGATAATTCCAGATATGATGAGTGCTTAAGTAAAAGAATGAAACAGGCCATTGTGTTAAAGGATGATTATTTGAAGGGTAGAAGTGAGGGAATAGGGTAGGGAGCGCTGATATAGACTGGGTGTTGGGGGATCTCTCACTCAAGTGGCGGTATTAAGCGGACACCTGAAAGGCAGGGAGAGGCTTGGTGGCAGGAGCATGCAAGTGTAAAACCCCAAAGAGGTTAGACGAAAAAGGTGGCTACTGCAGTTGGAACCCAGAAAGGAGACGAGTCCTACATGGTGTGTTCAGAGGTCCGTAAAAACCCCTTCATTAAATAGCTTGAGGAAGTTTGAATTTTATTTTTGAGTGCAATGAAAAGCCTTGGAAGAGCTTGATCTAATCACGAGACTCAATTAGCATTTTGAAAAGAATCAGTGTGGCTGCCTCATGGGAACTGGATTGTAGAGGAGCAAGCATAGAAGCAAGGACACCCGTTGGAGATGACTGTTCCTGTGGGACAGGGACAATGGATGGTGGTTTGGACTGCAGTGGTAGCAGTGAGGAAGAGGGCAGGAGGACAGATACGGGTTGATGTGTTTTTTGTTTGAAATTGTGCATAAAACTCATCTGGCTCATGTGAGGAGTTTAACAAATGGTAGCTGTTACGTCACTGGTCTATTCTTAAGCAAGAAGCTTGCAGAGATTAAGGAATTTGTTCTAACTCACAGGATTAGCAAATTCAGCCAGTGCACTGTTCGCACTGTCACTGGGTACTGTCACACCATTCACAAAACATCTTACCTGAGGTTTTTTTCCTTCCAATCTTTTCTGCATTTAGCTGCCATTCTGATCTTCCTCAGACATTGCTTTCATCATGTTTATTTTGCTGATAAGCACATTATATGTATTCATGCAGTAATGGAGTAATTGCATCAAACTAGGCTTGCATGGGTGGGTGGGGTTCACACACCTAAGACAGGGTTTTTGCCTCTGGGATTTTAGAATTTACGTGGGGAGACGTGATTAGCTTATACAAAATAATATAGAGAGAGAGATCAAAAAGAGATGGCATAATTAACAGCTTTCTTCTAGATCTGGAAGAGAGAATTTTAGTAATGAGAGAGGCAAAAAGATGCTAGGTAAAAAGAGAAGCAAAAACAACATCCTGGGTTTGTGGCATAGAGGGGATGCGCTTGACAGGAGTGCATCTGCTCTGGGAAGGTGGAAGACAAAGTCACAGGGCAGGATGGTGTCAGTCTGTGCATGTTTTGAGCAAAAGCTGGGCATCAAGGGTTTGGACCTGATTCAGCTACATATAAAGCATTACTGAAGATGTGAAAGCAAGATTTGGTCATAGTGAACGCTTTGCTGGGACTAGTGATCATTTCTCCTTCTAATTTCTAAGGTAATTATCATCATCTTTAGGTACTCATTAGGTACTTAGCTTGGAACTCTTTGCACTTTAAAACTATATAATCTGAATGACTGCCGCCTATATGGAGTAGGTACCAAGTAAATGTTTGATGATGATGATGATGAAAGACATGTGCAAGGAAGATTAATTTGGCAACAGCATATGGCCTGAATTGAAAAGAAGAAAGCCAAGAGGAAAATCACAAGGAAGTTGTTCCAGGAAATGTAAGCATGAAGGAAAGGGTGTGGAAGAGACATATATGAGCAAATACTTAGGAAGTATCATTAAAAGGAGCTGAAGCAGTTTGAATGTGGAGTGGGTTAAAAATTAATGTAAGTTTTTTAATCTAAGTGTTTCAAAGGGCCACAATGCTGCTCAGGTAAGATGGAAAAATTGGGAGAGGGAGTTGATTTGGGGAAATAGGCATCCAAGATGAGAGGACATTCATTTAGAAATGGCCTAGAATTTGGCTAGATGAGAAGGAAGTGACTATGTAGAAATGGGGCTGAAGTTTTGTTATAATTTTGTTCACTTCAACAAATATTTATAGAAGCCCTACTATGTGCTAAGGGCTATGGGATACAGGTCAAATGAGGTATAGACTTTGAGAATTTAACAACCTAATGGGGGGGAAACATATGCAAAAAGGGAATATAAAGTCTAATGAAGTAAGTGTCCAGAGGAGATTATATGCAGAGAAAGTGAATTAAATAGAACGTATCATTGGTACAAACTTCCCACGAAAGAAAACTGATGGAGAGTCCATGAAAGCACCCATAGGTAGCTCCTTCTGCTTAATTCTTCCTGCTCTATGACCTGCTACTCTGGCCACAGTTATCTGGACTTGGGATTGGCCCCCAAATGAAGGCAATCACCTCTAAGCCAGGCATAAAGAAGACCAGCCACCAGTTAGGTGGCCCATCAGGAAAATTGTGCCCCATAAAAGACTTTCTTATTGAATAGTGAATGACAGATACATTTAGATCTTCTCACTTGGGATGTTGTAAATGTATGTCACAGAGAGTAGTCACTAGAAGCAGAGATAGCAGCTGAAGTTGAGACTGTATATGAGGAAGAAGCAGAGAGATGCTGATTCAGGAGAATGGCAAAATTAACTAGAGTGTGGGCAATAGATGCTTGTTAATGAGAGGATGAGCGAGGCACCAGAGCCTGTTGCTGGATCATAAAAACAGCAGTTAATTTCTGGAATCAACACTAGTTCTGACGGTTGATATGGTTTTCTGAAGTTTCCTTGTTTCCTAAATAAACCCTCAGCACTTGTAGGGCTCTGAACGTGTCCTGGTACTTTATGTCTCACACAAGAGCCCAGCTAGCACAAAGGAATTCCTGTTGTTTTGGCTTTGATTATATCTACAGAAGAAGGATCTTGTGAAGGATAGGCCAGAATGATCTTCATAAAGCAAGATAAAAGGATGTGCACAAGGGTCTGCATGTATGTGGCTGCTTTCCCAGAAGAGTGCAACAGTGGAGGGTAAAAACCTCAGTTACCTCTTAGAGCAAGCCCAGAATCCCCAAGCTTATACTTTTTGCAATTTCTTCTCTCTTTTCCTGTCATGATCACCGTGTAGGTTTGTGTGCTTGTCTTGGGGGAGAGCAAAGAAAAGGAAAGGAAAAGGAGAGCCATGGAGACTATTCAATGCAGCCACCAAGCTTTGGAAGAAAACCCCTGAAGACAGTACAAAGTGCGGCCACCACAAGCAATGTGAGTGTCTAGATCAGGGTTTTTCAGTGTACACACTGCTAACCACCAGTTTAGGATCATCTGATTTATTAAAAATGAGGATTTCTAGATTACCTTGGACCAACCGAATGGAATCTCTGGGCGAGGGAACTTGCAGTTTTGTTAAGTATGCAAGGTGCTTTGTGAAGCATCTCCCTTTGAGACCCACTGCCACTGGCCCCAGGTCAAGGAAAGAAAGAAAATATTGGGGAGTGGGTGCTGGCTTCTGAGAAAGCACCCATGACTGAAGGGTGGAAAAGCATGGCATAACATATGCCATGCTGTAGGAGTGAAAAGGAAGGGGAGGGAAGGTGTGTGAGGTACAACTAGAGTATAGGGTGCACAGAACAGGGATCAGGATGCAGGTTTGCTCTGGGAATCATGAGCCTCGATGATAACTGAGACCATGGGGATGGATTAGGTTTCTGCTAATGCCAGAATTTTTGCAATCAGCATAAAAATGGTATAGAAAGTCACCCCCCTCCCTTTTATTATAGTCCTTTTAAGATTTATAGAGCACCAACTACAGTGAGAACATTGCATTAGCAGCTGTCAAAGAAAACAAGAGCTTATCATGCACTTGAAGTTGAACCAAAACAAAATCTGTAATTTATATCTAGGAGTGACTACAAAGCAACGTACAATAAGTGCAAATTCATTCATTTAACAAAAACTCATCCTGTCTGTTATGTGCAGGCTCCACAAAGGTGTGGTTTATCAGAAGGTGACCTGGCGAGCTTAAAGGCAGATTTTGAAAGAAAGTGAAAACAGATTACAGAGAGTTTAAGGCACTTTAAATAAGGATTTAGAGTCACAGAGTTCAGAAGGAGGGGATGGAACTTCATTCATCCAACATTCCATAAATATTTATTGAGTGTCTACTGTGTTGTAGACACTGGAAATATAGCAGTAAGTAAAACAGACGAAAAAAATCCCTGACCTCCTGGAGCTTAATATTCTGGTAGGAGAAAGACAAGAAAACACAGTAAATAAGTTATATAGTATATTAGAAAATGGTGAGTGCCTAGGAAAAAATAAAGCAGGAAGAAGGACAGAATTTGGGGGTGAGGAGGGCGAGATGCAATATCAAAGATGATCTTTTGGCAAGAATTTATTGGAAGAAGACATTTGGACAAAGAGTTTTAAGTGTCAGAGGGAGATTGTGGATATATATTGGATACGTGCTCTGGTAGAGGAAGCAAGTGCAAATTCCCCAAGAGAGAAGCCCGCCTGGCATTTTCAAGGAACAGCCGGGAACCAGTGTGTGTGTGTGTGTGTGTGTGTGTGTGTGTGTGTGTGTGTGTGTGTAAGTGAGGAAAGGACTGGTAGGATAGAATGCAGAGAGATACGGGGTGAGGGGTGTCACATAATCTAAGGCCATGTAGCACTTGGAGATTTTTACTTTTCCCTTAGGTGGGATGGGAGCCCCTAGAGCTGGGAGCAGAGGAGTGAATGTAACCTGACATGAAGAGTACTTCATTTCAGCTGTGTGAACTTGGACCCAAGTTTTAATCTCTGTAAATCTGTTTCCTCATCTATAAAATAGTGAAAAGTATTTGACCTCATGAAGCTGTTGTGATGATTAAAGCAGATATATGTGCAAAACATTTACCAACGACTTGACATAGAGTAGGTGTATTCTTTTCCCGTTCATGTCTTCCACTTCCTCTCTTCTCTCTCTTCTACCTGGTACCAGGTGCTAGGAGAGAAAGACCAGGATAAGCCTTTCAGGTGACAGCCCACATGACGGGTACAAGAAAAGGGTGACAGTTGGTGAAAGGCTTACCTTAACAGACATAATAATTGGTATTTAAAATAATCGTTTTATTCGTGTTTTATGATGTGGGCTAGAAAGACAGAACTAGAAATAAGAGGCTCAGATGGGTGGTCCTATTAGGTATAGACGCCGGTCCTCAATCTTCAAAACTCTCCCAATTTACCTTTCTAGGTACTTTATCAGACTCTGGGTTATGCTAACAGTTTTAATTGTTCCATTGTTAAACATGTTAACTCCCTGAACTGTTAACTGACTAATCTCAATCTTCTAATTAATGTTTGAGTGATTCTCCTCAGGTTAAACTATCAAGGGCACTTATACTTAAAGACTGTTTGTCTTCTGTTTGTGCCCTCCTGGGCAGTAGGTACATCTGAGGTCGCTGTTTAGAATGACCTGTGATGACTTCAAAACATCCATAAAAACAGTAACATAAAACAACAGACCTCCTCCCTCTTGGGATTAATGACGAAAGCGTATGTCACGAATGTTTGGGCTTGGGGCTAGGTTCCCAGCCCCCAGAGTGTTGAGGCTGGTAATCACCAAGCCGTGGTTAGAAAGCCCCTGGGTGGGGAACTCTCTGCCTGATGTCTCCCTAAGTCACCGAAGTCGCCTCCCACATTTGGTGACTGCATGTTTATTTACTTGCAGTAAATGACAGTAAATGAACGTGCACGAGTGCAGCCGACCCCGAGGGGCGCTGGATTTTCCGAAGCTTGTCCGAGTAGACCCGAAGAGGGTGCGGCAGGGTAGCCCACTGCGCGCCGGCCCGGGTCCGAGTCTGCGGTTGCGGGCTGGACTCTGCGGCGAGAGCCCGGAGGCCGGCCGCCGCGTGGGTCCGGCGGTGCCTCCTCCCCGCCCCGCCGAGGCGCCGCCCAGACCCCCCCTGCTCGGCCGGCCCGGCTCCCCCACCCACCGCCGCCCGCCACCTCCTTCCCCCACCGGCCCGGCCCCCGCTGCTCCGCCGCCTCCCCGGCGGCGCTCGCAGGCTCCCTCGCTTCCCTCTTCCCACACCGCCCTCAGCGGCTCCCTCCCCGCACGCCGGTCTGAAGAGGAATCGAGCGCCGCGCGCATCGATAGCTCTGCGCTCTGCCCTCTGCGGCCGCCCGGCCCCGAACTCATCGGTGAGCTCGGAGCTCGATTTCCCTAGGCGGCGGCCGCGGCGGCGGAGGCACAGCGGCGGCGGCGGTGGCGGCGGCGGCGGCGGTGGCGGCTGCCCGGCCAGTACTCCCGGCCCCCGCCATTTCGGACTGGGAGCGAGCGCAGCGCAGGCACTGAAGGCGGCGGCGGGGGCCAGAGGCGCGGCGGCTCCCAGGTGCGGGAGAGAGGTATGGAGCGGACCACCCCTCCTGGGCCCCTGCCCCGGTCCCGACCCTCCTCGCCGGCGCCGGGCGGGGCCGGCGGCGAGTGAATGAATTAGGGGTCCCCGGAGGGGCGGGGAGGGGGCGCGGGCGCTGAGCCCCAGCGGGCGGGCGGACGGGGTGGGGGTGGCTGCAGGGGGAGGCACAGGGACGCGGCGACGCGGGGAATGAGGAATGGGCGGTGCGGGGCTGAGGAGGGTGAGGCTAGAGGCGGCCGCCGCTTGTGCTGCTTCCTGGACGGGGAACCCCTTCCTTCCTCCTCCCCGAGAGCCTCGGCTGGAGGCGGCCGGGGAGAAACTCGTGGGCTGGGCGGGCTGCCCCTCGGGGCGGTCGGGTGCGGTGGAGGTTACTCCCGATGCGCTCCAATCTCCCCTCCCCCTCGTCGTCCTTCCCTCTCTCTGTCTGTCTCTTCTCTTCCTTCGCTCCCGCACCTCTTCCTCCCTTCCCAGCACTAGGCTGCCTCGTTACTGCCTTCTCTGCTGCATCTAGCATCTCTAGGACGAAGGTATAAACTTCTCCCTCGAGCGCAGACTGGACGGATAGTGGTCCTTAACAGTGTGTAGGGGTATATGAGTAATAGGGGAGGTCACGTTTTGGAAGAGCCTAGGAGAGTGCTTAGAGACCACTGTTTGTGGTTATTGTGTTTGGAAAAAATGCATCTGCAGCCGAGTTCCTGACTGCTCCCCTCCCCCATGTATGGGCTGTGACATTACTATGGCCACAAAGGAGGAGGTGGAGGTAGAGATGGTGGTGGAAGAACAGGTGGCCAACACCCTACAACGTAAAGCCTGTGACTTAAGTGAAAAGGAAAAGTTAATCCCAGAAGGTCTGTTTTGCTTTGTCAAGTTAAAACACACTCAGAAAACCCGCAGAGCTGAAGCAGGGCTTTTTCCTTGCTAGTTGAGTGTAGACAGCAATAGCTACAATCACACTTAAAGTTTAATTTGCCTGTTCTTGTCCTTTCTCCTATTCTTGTAGATTACCCTCATCCTTACAAATTTGACCCCCATCCCAAGAGTTATTACAGTATTCCTAAATAGGACTCACACATTTTTTTTTTTTTTTTTTTTGGACTGACTTGCCAGAGGAGTTAATTGTAGCAATCTTCCAGCCAACTGCCCGAAATACTCTTAGGCATGTGCATGCTGTAGCTGAAGTCCTAAACTGGCTCTCTTAAATTTTGACGTTTATCAAAACAAGGGTTAAGAACAGGAAGGCATTTTCTAATTTTTACACAATATACATATTTTATTGGTAATGGGAAAAAATCATTTAAAAAGAAATTACAAAGGGAAAAATTCTATTCCTAATCATCATCTTAGAATCAACCATATGAGTGATGTCACTCTTAGGTGACTAAGGTCCAAAACGCTGACTCGGCCAGTCTGCAGTGGTAGACTATAGACATCAAATGTGGTTGATATCAGTACTGTTTACTTTGTTACTTTTTAGCCATCCACAGGCATACTTGATTTTAAGAGACCATAGATGAGAGGATAATTCAGGTTTCTGACAAAATTGAATTTTTTTCCCCCATAACAAAATGTTGGGTTCTGGTCCCACTTCCACCCCTTCATAGCTATTTTAGCTTTGGGTGAAGGGGTTCTGTTTTGCTTATGATCTTCAGTAAGACTCCTTGGGAACACAGTTCTCTCTAGTGGATTTAAATATTATTTGGTTTCTAAAATCAATTCAGGGATATATATATATATATATATTTTTTCCAGAAACAACAGCTACACAAACATGTATACCAGAAGGTGTGTGTGTGTCTCAGAATTCACACAGCTAAGCTCTAATCCCGTGTCTGCCTACAGTATCTCCTAGACTAGCAAACTTTTTAGTTGCAAGGACACCTTATACTCTCGAAAATTATTGAAGGTCCCAATATAGGATATGTCTGTGTACCATAGTACAAATGAGAATTTAAAAAATTGATTAATGCATTATAAATAGAAATAATAAGCCTATTACTTGGTAACATAATAGCATTTTCATGAAAACTATTTTTCAAAACAAACAGGAACATTAGAATAGTGGCATTGTTTCACGTTTTTGCTAATCTCTTTAACTATATTGCTTAATAGAAGACATCTGCATATCTGCTTATGCGCTCACTCTATTGTGATCCTATTTGGAAAACTACCTTTGTTAAAGAATAAGAGTGGAAAGGGTAAATAACGTTGTAGTAGTAGTAATATTATTAGTATTATTAGTTTTGATCTCTTGGACCCCCAGAAAGTTTGAGGAATGCTGCTGGATTCCTGGACTGCAGTTTGAGAACTACTGTTCTAGCCTATCCAAATTGTTTTAGGGGGTAGGGTAGGCAGGGAGCTAGAGTATACATTTTGGTGTGATTCTCCTCATTGTTCCCCATTCCTTATGGCCTATATTTGGAATAAAAAGTGGGAGCAAACAGGATAAGATGCATGCTTGTAGAGGTTCCCAAGGTGGCCCTAGACAAGAACAAGGCTAGGCGGCACAGAGTAGGCCAGGGGCTGTACTATAACATTCTGTACTATAACAGTTGTCTAGGCTAACTGTTCTTTGTGAGAGGGCTCAGGAATAGCTAAGGAGGCGGTTAGTATGTTACCATTTGGAAACCATATTATCTTTTTTGGGGGGTGGGGGAGCGCCTATTTGGATAATTCTTGGTCTTCAGTTAATAGGATTCTGCATGTACGTATAGTGTTTATATTTGCACATTCATTAGTTTAGAACTACCTATCCTATCATTACTGCTTATTTGCTGCCATTCTTTCTGCAGTTCATTCCTTATTTTTAATAACATGTAGTTATTGGGGGAAAGGAGGTAAAATTAAATAATTTTATTTCAAGAAGTTTGAAACAGGTGATTAAAAAATATTTTTGGTCTTGTGCTCTCAGCCTTCCAAGTTGCCAATATTTATTTCAACTGTTGGAGCACTATGTACAGTAGCAGGGAGTAAAAGTCACCGAGAAGTATTCACTTACAGCTTTTAAAATACCTCTCGTTAAAAGCAGTGCTTACCTTTAAATTTTGTATGATTATATTTTTCTGGTGTGGAGTGCTATTTTTCAGCACTAATGTATGATTATATATGTGACAGATGATGAAATCATCCATACTGAATGGTTCAAAGTTCTTGAAGTTCTTTTAGTTTTTACATCATTATTTTCCCCAGCAGATATCTTACAGATTGAAATGTTGCCAAATCTGCTTCAGTGTCTTGGTTTTTATTTCTCCACTACACAGTCCAGTTTTATTTGACAGTCTTCCCTTCACCCCACATCTGACTCTTGCTCACTCTTCAGGAGAGCTGCTGTGATGATGCTTTGAAAGGTTTTCCATAGCTGTGGGCTCCAACTAAGGCCCTCAGCATATCCACTTGTAATTCTTAAGGGCCAGAGTCAACTAGGAACAGCGTAGAGGTAGCTGTCAAGGAGCTTTGTGTGGGTGTGTCCGCGGGTATAGACATTTGTACTGGGTAAAGTCATGGCATGTTCCTTTGAGAGCCATTAACTGCTACAGAACAGCAGACTGGCTGTTTAGATAGAGCAACCTGAGTATAAGATAAAAGAACTTTGTACTCTGAATGCATTTTTCTCAGATGTTGATGGGGGAGTTTGTAAGCAAAGTGCAATTCATTACAGCACTCACTTATCTGTAGTCAACTGAAGTTTTCATCATTGAATTTTGTGAGGCATTTTGAAGTAATTTTGTATACAAAGGTGAATTTGTGTTAAAAGGTATTGGTAGAGTGGGTTATATTAACCTCATGTTCTAATTTATATTAGCCACGTGTTCTAATTTAGTCACATTTTCATTATTTTTATTATAAGGCCTGCTGAAAATGACTGAATATAAACTTGTGGTAGTTGGAGCTGGTGGCGTAGGCAAGAGTGCCTTGACGATACAGCTAATTCAGAATCACTTTGTGGATGAATATGATCCTACAATAGAGGTAAATTTTGTTTTAACATTATGCATATTGATTTGTGCAGGCCCATTCTTTGGGTACAAAGAAAGGGTTTCTCTGATCATTTATGTGACTACTCATTGTGGGGCAGTTATACTGAAAATGATTTTACGAAGTTTTCTAAAATGTACTTGGGTTCCATGGCTTTATTGTGAAGTTATATATGTAACCAGAGATATGGAGGGCTTTTCTTCTCTCTAGAGAATATTAAGATACATAACGTACACTCTATGTTAGTATATGTGCTTTTTGATTATAAGTGTATTTCAGAGTTTTATGAGAGGGTAAAAATGTGAATTTACGTCTTACCTTATAGTCATTAAAAAAATGTGGCTGTTTTATGTTTTGTTTGTTTTGCTATTTTTATGTCATGTGTAGAAGTTACAGTTGAATTGTACTGGGAAAATGTAATCATTTGATGGTTGGCTTTTAACAATTAATTAGTGGTTTTCTTTTCACATTGAAGTAGTGGAGAACCTACAGCTACATGATAAATTTTAAAATGCTCATTTTTTGTGTATTTATATCTGTATCTATATCAGGTCGTATAGAAGGGTACCACATCCAATCCTTACCTTTTTTTTTTTTAATTTTTTAATGTTTATTCTTGAGAGAGAGAGAGAGAGCATGAGTGGGGAAGGGGCAGAGAGAGAGGGAGACACAAAATCCAAAGCACGCTCCAGGCTCTGAGCTGTTGGCACAGAGCCTGATGCAGGGATTGAACCCACAAACTGCAAGATCATAACCTGAGCTGAAGTCAGATGCTCAATCGACTGAGCCACCCAGGCGCCCCATCCAATCC